AAGCAGGACAGCAGCCCCCCCCCTCCTCACCCAGGATAACCCTACAAGTCCTTGCTGTTACTTGGATACGTTTTCAAAACTGCTTTCTACATGCTAGTACATTGATATCAGTACTCGCTTTGCACCTCTAAACATTCAGAGTTCATCTCATTTTTCATGATTCAGCTTTACTCCCTTCATTACATTGCATGTTTTTCATTACTCTTTCTAATAGCCTGGGTGGTGTCGAGTGGTGCGGCTAGCATCAGTACTAGGGCGCACCAGCCCTACCTAGCACATCCACGTCTGCTTCACCTTCTATTCAATACAACTAAATTCGCTATTTGGACGGAATTACTTTCCTGTAGAAATCACCAACTGGGTGTGTCGGCTTGAAGGTCCGCCCGCCTGCATTTCGTAAAGAGAGCAACAGTGAAAGAGGACTCGGTTACCAGACAGATCGCTAGTCCGACCCTCTAATGGATAAATGTACCTTAAAAATTCCTTCAGTGGACTGCAAAAGGCGTTGAAGCCTTGTATACGCTAAAAATACTTATCAAAAGAATGCTCAGTCACCAGCAATAGTCAGACCGCAGGCAGGATTCCAGCCTGCATCCACCTCTGACAGGGCGAGTGCGCCATCTATTAGGTCATCCCATTCAAACTGGCCGCTACATATAGAGGAATGGCAGAAAAGCAAAGGGGATAGCAGCGGACTACTATACCATTTGGAAGCTAGTACCTTAAGCTGTGAAATTTGGCGAACCTAGCCCCAGAAGAAGTTCTCGAGAAATTGAAAAGAAGCCCGAGTGGTGAAAATCGGCGCCGGTTTTTCAAATCAGACGTCATAAGAGGAAAGTGCGCTGCTCAAATTTGACCTGCGCCGGACCATAGTTGTGTGTAAGGGTGTTCTCGAAATACACGGTGGAAGATTTGGTTCAGGAGCCCGTACAAGGAAGAAAGGAAAAAATTTGTTGTCGTGGATGGTCCCATAATATTCATCCTGCACAAGAAAAACGGGTGGATGAAGTCAGGCACTGAATATCTGATCACAGAGCCTGGACCTTTGTCGGGTTTCCCCGCGAGACTGACATCCCTGCTGCAATTACTGTACGTGTTATGACCGATAAACTGAGGATGGTCAAGGGGGTGTGCGCATGGGTACCCAATTTTCTTATAGAAGCACGAACGCAGTACCGATTCTATACCTCTAGCAGTAATGTTCTCAGCATGAGATGTCACTCACAACTGTGAAAACGCACCCAGGCCTTAGATGAAATATGGGTGGTCTCGGACCTCGAGCCGAAACTCACAATCGTCAATTTTGTATGAATGCAGATGAGAAGCCGCCCGAGTTCCACCATGAGAAGTTACATGGGCATTGCGTTGTGATCATTTCCTGAAAAATACGACCCCCCCCCCCCTAATTCCATCTTCAAGTACGACCCCCCTCCCCATGTTACCTCTTCCCTAGATTTTTCCAACCTCCTACCACTTTGTCCGTTTTCCCCAAAAAATTTCTGGTTTTTTTCACAAAATTTTACTGTCGAGCGGGGGGGGGGAAAGGGGGTCGCAGTACATGTAACGTACGACTTCAGCGTCCAAGCCGCCCAGCGCAGACTCTTGGGCTTGATGGTGTAGGCATAAAACTATGGCCAATTGAAGAACGAGGAAGGGGGATGATATGAGCTCTACGATCAAACGCGCCCGCACAATTGGGCACACATATGAATACTTATAAACAAAGCAAAAGGTACTGTCACGACGTGACGATTAATAAACAGATGAAAGTACATTGCCGGACTTTCCTGATCGTAGGAGCACATGTGCTTGCACTTGGGAAGCCCTATCTAGAAGTTACACCTTTCCAAAACCTGCGTGAAAGCCCCATGCATGGCGCATTGCACAGGTGATGCCAATTGGCGCCAGACGCATTCTCCATACCACCTTTGCGGAAACATGTGTTTCAGAAGCATACCAAAGTCTCCAAGCCAACTGGAGGTTTCCTGGCCTCGGAGGGGTTGATTTTTCGTGTCGTGGGGGGTGAGCACGAGATGATCACAACGGGGAATTTTTTCGAATAGCAAGCCTAGGGAGAAAATTAAAGCCCTGCTGGAAAGTAGAAATCTTCAAGCTTCCGGCACACAGTTCTTTTTTTACGAAAGGCGCCGGTGTATGGAAGCTTGCATGGGCCGCCAAAGCGTAGCGATCTCGCGTTGCCAAGAATTGATCACAGACGGATCAAAAGATGACACAACGGAGGAAAATCTCTGGGGCAACGAAACGTTTTTAAATAGCTCATTCAGGTGATAAAGGCCAACCTAGCTCTACTCATTCCTACTTTCCCCTCTCCGATAGCTTAACTTTCAACGAAGTTATGGGTGTTCAAATGAGGGGTACTTTTCGAGCGTTTTCGAGCGTTTGGCTTGAAATTGACTGTGGGACGTGAAATAGCGTGTACCAATGAGACGGCACTTTCGGCGCGAACAACTAGCATACAAATTTGGTAAGTTGTTTTTTCTCATTTATTTTGTGTATTTCAATGCTTTCTAGGTTTCTTTTTAGTTTCTCGGTATTTTTTTTAGTTCTGCTGAATCGTGGTTTCCGCCAACTAATTGAACTATTTCCCACCCGCGTACAGTCTGTTGTAAATTAGAGGTTTGCAACTGCTCCTTTATCGTTTTTTTTTTCTAGAAGGCCAGATTTGGCTGAAAATTTGCACACAGTGTCACTTCGACCTATTGAGCACGAATATCATATCCGTTTTGAATCAATTTTCGTGATTTGGGGTTTTTTGGCGCGCAGCCCACAAGCGCGCGCCCGCCTATATACCCTAAACCACGCAAATATACGATGAAAACTTGTGTCTGCGCAGGGGTTATTTGCATCCTGATTTCTCAAATATGACATTTATCAATCTGGCGCAAAGTGTCAGCGTAACGTCATCCCATGCAGCTTTCCGAGACTAGAAGCCTGCCTGAGAGAAAACATTCGTTCTCGCCCAGTTTCACCTCAGCCAGCGGCTTGAATATGGAGCTCGCGAGAAAAATGATGTCATATTCGTGATCAGGACATCTGATAACATCTACTACAAGTTTCAGCGAAAATTTTTCTCGACTCCTTGGCGTAGGAATAGTTCAATAGTGATTAGTTCTCTTTATTGTCATTTTCATCGTCCCTTTCGAGCTTCTTTTCACCTGCTGTACCGAGTGCTCTCTGTGTCCACTTTGGAAGTGGCTGATCCTTGACGACCCCCCGCTCCATCCGAGGCATATCGCCCCCCCCCCCGTTGTGATGATCACAAAGATGGCGTCGACCTGGTTCCCCATGAATACGTTATCATGCGGCGCAAGCTGTCGATGCACATTGAGTCAAAGGATTCCCACACTGTGACTTTCAAGCGGCTCTATACAGAGAACAAATCCGTCACTGTCGGTGCATATTGCCTGTTCCTCGGCATTCAGATCGACAAATGGATGCTACCACACAACTACAAGAAGGCCACCGTTGCTCGTCATAGTGCCAGACCCCGAGTAACTGTATTGTAGATCAGTGCTGGGACACAAACAATACTGAGACCTGGGTTCAATCGCCCCATTCGCCCGTCATAAAGCCATATAAGCCACTGCGATTAACAACCTGCTCTGTTCAGTTGAGATATTCTCCGCCGGCGAACGCTACGAAGTTATTACGCACCAGAGGTCCAAAGGCCCTCGGGGCACTGGGAGCGGGTCATTGGTGAAGGAGGGATTTACTCATCCTAAAGCTAAAATATCACTTTTCTATCTATTCTCTCTTTGTTTTATTCAAAAAAACCAGCGGCCAGTTTGAATGGGATGACCTAATATTACGCCGTTGGGGCCGCTTTCACCCTCTCACCTCGATGAGTTTTCTGCCATGGCCTTAGAGCACGCACAACGTTCAACGTGATGAGCCAGGTTAGCCACTATCGTGACAACTTCCGGAGGGCAAATTTTGGCGTTCAACAGCAGTTACCATTCTGCAACAACTCCAAAACGAAAAAAGCCTTGAGCCTCGCGCTTCATTGCCTACCGATATCAGCTAGAGAGCCTCACCACCTTCAATGTATGAGTGCTATAAGGCTACGGTACAAAAGCTATAAATAGCCCCTAGTTGCCTCAAGCGGACAGACATGCAGACCGGCAGACTCACAATCCTATACAGTAAGTGTTTTACAAAGGAGTGATGCCGCAATAATTCGAGTGGTGCGGACGAGTTTTCCGAAGCAGAAGATGCCGCAAGAGGTGGAAATTATAGCCAATGCGCTTCAGTACTAACACCAACCGCACCATCCTACATACACTTATTAGCCTGGTGTAATTGAAAATTGCAGTAACAGTGCCCACGCAAAGAGTGCAGTCAACACAAAACGCGCGAAATCTAACTAAACGAAATCATGACATCTGCGAGGCGGGAACCTGGAATTTGAGAGCCTTTATGTCACTACCTTGGTCATGTGACCTTGAGAACCCCTCTAAGTCGACTGTTGACATGAGTGCCTCATGCGAGGAATGACTAAATTCCAGGTAATCGTACACAGTGCCTCCAAAAACAACAACCCATCAGATTTCCGCAGACACCGTGGGGCACGTCATTCGAAAAAGAATCCAAAGCAGACAGATTATTGACCAGGAACTTACTCAGCAACTAAAGCGACAAGCGGATTAGGATAGCTCGTATGCGGATGTGAGCCAGCTGCGTCGCCCATGTCGATATGAGAAAATTTCAGAGGATGATCGCTGTCACATCCATGCTCATCCAATCGAGATGCCTGAAGCAACACTATTCTCAATGTGATCATTTTCAAATGCTGCGTCTTTAAAGGTACCATTAGCGACTGCACTTTATAGATGAAAGGGTGTAAAAAAGACAATGAGGGTATTATTTGATTGTATTGACTGAATGCCAAAGCAGCAATGAGAAAGAACCGCTGAAAACGCCTTGAATGAAACCCTAACTGTTTTGAGCACTGGACGGCTTGCCAATGGCAAAGGGCACGGTTGCTAAGGGCGGGCAGTTGTAGCCAACGTCATTGGTGGAAGGGCACTGTCGGGTGTGGCCAAACGCACTTTCACAGCCGTTCCACCAATGACGCTGTCAACATCGCCCTCGTCCAGCGATCGTGCCCACTGCATTCAATGGAATTTACACAGCAGAAAGGCCAAAGAAACTGCAATAAACAAAAACGCGCGCTAGCAAACCCCCGAGGAGCACACAAAACGGCTCATAAAGCCCTAGGCAACAAAGTTACTTCGTGGATCCGTTTCGTGTGCTCCTGTAATCAACCGCATTGTGCCACCTCCTGTGGATTAACCAGTGTGGAAAGGAACATGTTACAAGCCCCTAGTGATCTTATCACACTCTTTCAAGTGAGGAAAGCAGTCCACACCCAGCTGATATGGACCAAATAAGCTGGAGAGATATATTTTTATTATACAATCGCTAAACGTTTTCAATGGAAAGGTGAAAAACGAAACAAAAGACAAAATTGTTAACTTACCATAATCATAAACGCGCCCGGACACTGATGCCCTCGCGTAGTTTGAGCGGATGGCTTCGTACCACTTTGGCGTATGTGGGCTTGCTCACACTCCGCTTTGTGGAAATCGAAATCCTGGAATATTTCAGAACGCCGTCATATGGAAACAACAAAACACACTCACAGCGCTCCGTAGTCATCTGGATCTCCAAGCAAAACCTTACATTTATTTTAACCTTATTTTAGACAACTACACAGATTTGTTAAGTCGAAACAACAGCTTCTTTAAAACTTGCCTCTGGTTGCAATCGACTGATTTCGATAGGCTGACCATAAATATCTCCTATATCCTGGATTCGACGAGCCCAACCACTTCGCTTTGCTGGCCCTGAAATAAGTTACATACTAGCAGCGTTAACCATCGTTGTCCGCATTGCAACGTCGGCGCCTACGTCGACGTCAGACCCCTTTCAGACTCCGCGATCGCGAACTTTCAACAGGTCTAACGGTCGTAACCGACGTTATCGGCGACAGAAGATTAGATGCGTATCGACTGACGTCGAAAACCGGGTATAGCGGCGCCAGTTAGATACGAGCCTGAATTCTGACGCCGATTACGTCGGTTCCGGCAGTTACGTCGATGACATAGTATTCAGCTGGTGAAGTCACGTCGCCCTGCGGTTTTTTTCCTCCATTTTTAACTAAAAAGCATACAATGAAAATGAGCCCATAGTATAGAGGCTGTTGCTAACTGCGCTGCCCCACCCAATGGGCAGATACATTTGCAGTGAGAAGGAAGAAACAGGAAGTCGATGAATAGCCGATCTCCCGACTGATGTCATCAAACATGGTGAATGTTCCTCAGCAAGGTATTCATAGAGCGAAACGGTGATAGCCAAGGGGGGGAGGGTCAGTAGAGAAGGTACTGTGCCGCGCCAGCGCTATTTATTAGGTTGTCCGGAAAGTTCTCAGCGTTTTGTGCACCTATTTTTTGTACATTCACTGCTGATTAAAAACTCATTCTGCCTTGCTTCTCAGTAGCATATCCTGTAGAGAATTTCTTCGGAACGCTAGTCCTGATGGTACAATTGCCGTTTCAGCTATTGATTTGATAATACCCCCTTTTTTTCAGGACTTTTTCGAGAAATGTGAAAGGCAACTTCGGCGATTTTTTTTCTTCGGACTATACTCGGGCGGCAAATCCGCAATCGAAACAGCTCAACAAATTAACCAGGTGTGGGGGCCCAATAGTGCTAGAGAAAGCACTGTGCGGCAATGGCTCAACAAATTTCGTTCTGGAGATTTCAGCCTTGAAGATGAACCTCATAGCGGTCGACCTAAAGCAATATCTGACGAGGATTTTAGGGGGATTTTGGAGGCTGACCCATCCCAAACAGTTCGAGAGATAGCAGAAGAGCTAGGCGTTGGCAAATCCACTGTTGCAGATGGTCTGGAACGCATTGGGAAGGTGAAAAAACTCGACAATTGGGTGCCCCACAATCGGAGTGACCGGCAGGAATCGGCACGTCTCGAGGTTCCTTCTGCATTGCTTTTGCGCAGCAGAAACGACCTGTTTTTGGGCCGAATTGTCACCTGTGATGAAAAATGGGTCATCCTACTATATATAAACGGCGACGTCTGTCTGTCTGTCTGTCTGTCTGTCTGTCTGTCTGTCTGTCTGTCTGTCTGTCTGTCTGTCTGTCTGTCTGTCTGTCTGTCTGTCTGTCTGTCCGGAAATTCGGAACTACCTGAAGAGCCAGTCTCAGGGGGCGGGTCAAGGTTGGGGTGGGTGCCAGAGTGGGCTCCAAGATGTACGAAACACTACAGTGAACTAGGTGCTATACTGCACGTCGAGCCACACTGTGGGCGCGCGTGCGCATAGTTGTGAGCTTCATATTTCAAAAATTCGTAGTTCGGTTCCAAAAAAGCCCCGAGAGCGGAGAAAAGTGGCAAACGATAGGCAATTAGTTCGTGGACGAAATGACTGAAACAAACCCATTTTGGGCGGGGCGTTCTACAGATGGGCGGTGCTTGCTTCGAGATTTTCAAAAATTCCCAGTTCGGTTCCAAAAGAGCCCGAGCGGAAAAAGTGGCAAACGATAGGCAATCAGTTCGCGGACGAAATGGAGTTTCTGAAAATACAAAACAATTCTGTGCGCGTGGCGTTCTGTAGGGCGTGCCTGCACGAACTCAAAAATTCGTGAGTTGGTTTCCAAAAAAAAGCTCGAGGGGGTGGGAGAAGTGCCAAACGATAGGCAATCAGTTGGCGGACGGAATTAATGAAGCACACCCGTGATGGGCGGAGCGTTCGCCGAAGTGGACGATGCCGAGGACGAAAACCCTCGAAACGCATCCGAAAAAACCCCACGAAATGGGGAGTGAGCTGAAACTAAACAGTGGTATGGCAGATGAACATAGTGAGGGGATAATCGTAGGGAGTATCCCAAATGGTTGGTACCGTCGGCAATAGTTTGCAGTGCCGCATAGAAAATTTTGATGGCTGTCCTAGGGTGGACTGGGTGCGGTGGGGGCGGGGTCGGGGGGGGGTAATATACTAGAAGTGACAAGCGGTAAAGTGCAGTAACTTGCTCAAATATAACTGATTTCTGAGGAGGGCCGGCCGATAGCCGCACTGTCATCCCTCACATGGAAAACTGCCCTCACAGGGCACACTTCACGACATGCGGAAAGGAGGATCGGCCGGCGTTCGCCCGCGCGATTCCGACTGGTTTATGATAACGGGAGACGCTCTCGACCACTGTTGGTTGATTTCGAACGAGCACCGGAGGTAGATGTTTCAAAGAGCCAGCTCTCACGAAAAAAAAGCTCTGGTTTACGAGAGTTGGTCGGTCATACGGCGTGAATGTGACACAACTTATACTCACCAGGACCAAACTATCACTAGACAGAACCCTACTTGAAGATGGTCGACGAATCGTGACCGAAGAAAATTTTGTCAGATGCAGCCACACTCTCTCAAAAGAACATGGGGTCGCGATTCCTTCGCTTGAAGCAACCCGCACCCACACGTTTCCACAATCTACTCATACATAAGATATTGTAATGAATGGGGGGGTTGAAGTTCTACTCTCAACGCCATATTTCTGTAGAACGTCGGCCACAATATCGATAAATTCACTTTTTTTCCAACATTTAGAACTCCATTGCTCGGAAATATTTCATCAATCAGCCGACAGGCCAAAAAAGCGCTTCGTGGATTTCGCAACTGTCTTCGTGAACTCCACCCCCCCCAGTTTTTTACTTTGATGGGATTTCTCGACTGCTGTCACATTGGCAAAAGTGTGCTGATTCGAATGGTGCCTATTTCGATTAAATCCGATGAGTATTAAAAAAGTTACGATCGTTTAAAGTGAAACACCCAAAACGCTGAGAACTTTCCGGACAACCTAATAAAATTTTTGATGAGTCTTAAGCAGTATGGTGTCTCACATTATTATGGAAGAGTGTACCAATGCTCTTCTTCGCCGCTTTTTTTTCAAAGCTTCTGCGAGTTTCTGGAGCTTATGGTTGGTGGTGCAAGCGGGAGCGGTGACCGCGTGCCGTTGTAGGAGCAGCTCGTTAGCATTCCCATCCCAGAACCAGAAAAGGAAGGCTATTTGGGCGTGTTCATTGGACTTGCTCAGCTTAGGTCTCCCCCTAGAGATCACGATTCCACATGAATTAGAATTGGAGAGCATCCAACTTTCATCTCCACTATTGATGTCTTCCAGAAACTCGTTCTGATAACGGTGGAGAGGGGAGGCTGACAGATGGGTACCCAGGTGTACCACGTGCCATCAGACAAACTGTTCACTCATCTCCGAGGACGGCCCTTGGCATGAGCGAGGCGAAAGAGTCCGCAGTCAAGTAAGCCAATTTCTCAGCTTTTTTTCTCGTAAAATAAGAAAGAACCAAGAACATCAAATTCACCGTTATCCATAATAGCAGCATAGTGCCCGTACGTCAACACTGCATGTCCAGTTAAAGTAGCAATTGTCATAAGGTGAGGATTCACTTCATTAAGAGCCTGAAAACAAACGGATAGAAACTATAGATCCCTCAGTAAGAAGATATACCAGATGGGGTGAAATTTGCGAATCACTAATATTTCAACGACACGTTGATAGAACGCACTTCTTCTTTAGCCCTCGTCAAGGGATCGAGCATAGTGATCCGTCCTTCTGCATCTGTGTTATAGATGTGAATCCGTTTTCCACTTCGTGCCGTGATCACTTCATCAGTCGTATATCCATGCGAACCTATGCTGTTCCGAACCATACACATGTAGCCCACGACCTAAACAGGCATAGCTAAATGTCTGACTGTTAGAGCGCGTTCAGACTTCGCGCTCACGTGATTGGGACGCTCGACAGGATAGCGCGATCCAGTCGAGAGATTCCGATCGCGCGATCGCGAAGTCTGAGCGCGTTCTTGAGCTGAAGCAGTTGTTAACGATGCCAGATCAGAACTGGACTTTAGAATGACTCCGGAACAGAACTACTGAATCACGGATTTGGTATACTCCCTACGATTATCCCCTCACTATGTTCATCTGCCATACCATTGCTTAGTTTCAGCTCACTCCCCATTTCGTGGGGTTTTTCGGATGCGTTTCGAGGGTTTTCGTCCTCGGCATCGTCCACTTCGGCGAACGCTCCGCCCATCAGGGGTGTGCTTCATTAATTCCGTCCGCCAACTGATTGCCTATCGTTTGCCACTTCTCCCACTCTCCGAGCTTTTTTGGAACCCAACTACGAATTTTTGAAAGTTTCGTAGCAGGCACCGCTTACCTACAGACCTACAAAACGGCCCTGCCACAGAATGAAGTTTGATTCAGTCACTTCGTCGTTTAGCTGATTGCATCCGTTTGCCACTTTTTCCGCTCTCGGGGCTCTTTTGGAACCGAACTGGGAATTTTTGAAAGTCTCGAAGCAAGCACCGCCCATCTGTAGAACGCCCCGCCCAAAATGGGTTTGTTTCAGTCATTTCGTCCACGAACTAATTGCCTATCGTTTGCCACTTTTCTCCGCTCTCGGGGCTTTTTTGGAACCGAACTACGAATTTTTGAAATATGAAGCTCACAACTATGCGCACGCGCCGCCCACAGTGGGCGGGGCTTAGCCTAGTTCACGTGTGTTCCGTACATCTTGGCCCATGCCCTACCCATCCCACCTTGACCCGCCACTGGCTCTTCAGGTAGATTCCGAATTTCCGGACAGACAGACAGACAGACAGACAGACAGACAGACGTCGCCGTTTATATATAGTAGGATCACCGCACCTGACACAATCAGCTTTCCAGAGGCTATCACAAGGATTCTGATGGTGAGTTCAAAAGTCAGACCCCACGCGGGACTCAAACACGCGTCTCCAGCTGACCGGGCGAGGGCGTTATTCTTTGCGCCACCGGTACCGCTCCTACCGTTCAAACTTAATGACTTGTGGGCCATGGCCTCATAACTCACACAATGTTATGAGCGGATTAGCCGCTATCGGTAGTGAATCACGAGGCTGAAGGTCTTACATGCATTAGAAACAGTTTTATTCGACATATACACGCTTGTGATGACTTTCGGAGCGCAAACGGCGGCGTAAAACAGCACTTATATTAAAACAACTTCTAAACATGTGAAGCCTTCAGCCTTGCGGTTCACTGCCGATATCGGCTAACCGGCTCATCACGTTAAACGTGTGAGTGCTGAAAGGCACTGGCACAAATAGGCCATTGAGCTGAGAGGGCAGGAACGGAAGTGTCGATAGCGCACTCGCCCGGTCAGTGGGAGGTGTGTGTACGAGTCGCTTTGGGGTCTGACTCTTGCCCATAACTCAGCATCGCTATGATAACCTTGAGGAGTGTTGAGAATATCACATGCGTTGCTTTAAGATAAAGCGTCGTTCAGTTGCGCTGATGTGAGGAATGTTTGGTATCAATCGGGTGGGTGCTTCCAACCCACAGAAAGAAAAAGAAGCCTGCAGCGAGGCCGCGCCCGCCACCGCTAAGCTGGTCTCACGGAAGGAGCGCTGGCGTGAACTGGCGATGCGACAGGCAACAGAATATTTGAGTTTAGTAGGCGGTTCATAGCTCTGTAGCGCTATAGTGTGTTAGAGATATACATAAAGACAGTGGCGACCTCACATTATTTTGACAAAAAAATACCTTGATATTTTTCGGTTTAAGCAGTTCCAAAGCTTTGAAGAATCCTGCGACGACTGCACTTCCGTACTTGTCACGACACATTCCCCACATGTGACCTCCGGATTTCACATCGATACCACATGAAATAGATCACTTTTTCGAGACCATGAGGGCTACAGCATGCTAGTATGCCGATAACTACAATGTGGATGGAGTAAAACTTACCAGTGTCGATAGTACAAATCCCTTCCAATCAAAAAATGTATTTCGATCGTTCCTTCGCCGACATACTCTAACGTTAGCAGCCTGAAACCAACCAGAACAACTTTGCGTGTACTACACTATAAAGATGTAGGGGCAGCTCGCCTTTGTTAGTTGAGGGGAGGGGGAGGGGAGTATTGTGAAAAACTGGTGCTGAGTTGAGGAGATGAGAATTTTGACCCCTATACTTGTGAAAAACTGGTGCTGAGTTGAGGAGATGAGAATTTTGACCCCTAAGGAAGGAAGGACGTTCGAGATAAGTGAATCAACTTCTTCGAGTAGAAATGGTATTTAGCGCTACCGTAACCTCAGTTCTGCACATAGGTCCTCTGAGGGCCCCTAAACTGAACAACGCAGTACAGTAACAGCGAATTTTTCACACAAAAGCACTCGGCCTCCTCCAGTGCTGATGCTAATAATACCTTCTGACTGAATTTTCCTTCTTGTAATTTTTTCAGATACTTTTCAGATTGTACACGCGCTTTATTCATTTGAAAAAAAGGTAGAAACCGTTACGACGGTGATAAACTTACGACAGTATTTTATACATTCCACTCCGGAGGTGTTTTAGTGCAAAGCGCCGCTCACTACGCGCGACTTGGTGATCTTTCACGGGGAGAAAATCTTCGGCTTCTGTCTGGCCGAACCCAACATACCAACCCGGGTACTATACTCGTTGAGGGCGATAAAAAACTGATTTGTATAGCGATTTGCCTTGCAAGCCGAAGTTTTAAGTTTTTTTTTAAGGCTACCTCGATTCTGAATAGAAGTAGAATGCATGACGCATCCCAACGAAACAGTGATCAACACCAGAGTCTGTCTTTCCTTTTTACACTATCACAACTCACTGACTAAATGATCTGAAAGGGAATCACGTTCTACACCTGATGATCTTTCACGACGTTCGCTGCGCGATTGACAGCCGCCATCAGCGGATACTCTTTCTTTATCAAATCCTGATCATCTGTTATTTCCACCTTGATATCTCCACTGGTAAAAACT